GAATCGAACCTGCAACACTTTGGTTCACAGCCGCGCTCAATCCACTGAGCTACGCCAGCCAGGTGTATTTCTTAATTAAGTATACAGTATATAATACACTAAAATATAGTAAGATGGCTATTAAGCATCAGGCTTTGAAGGCAGACTATCTCTTCTCTGCTTCTTACCATATACATGACCTCAGGCAAATAAGTAACTTACCCTTTCTGCCCCATTTTCCCATAGGGTTGTTGCACCAACGTATGTCAAGTGCTTAGAACAGTGCCTAGTACTAAATAAGCATACCATAAATGTCATCTACTTTAATTACATAATTATTATTTTTATGGGAAAAAGCACCTCACCTTGAACAACTCATTACAAATCAAAGTAATATTAAAATTCAATTTACTTCATCAATGAACTCAAACATTTAGAAGAGTCTAGCTTAATATCATATTAAGCAGCCTCATTTTTTGTTGTATCTATCCTACTCACAAGTTCAATTTTCCCAACTCTGAGTCATTATTAGTCCCTCCCCGACTCATCACATAGAAAGGTAAACAGTCTACTATATATGAGGCATACCAAAAGGCAGTTCTTTATCTACTTGGATTTATAAGGTTTACTAAGTAGAACTTGTCCTACATAATGTTCAAAAATATGCTGAATGATTATGACATATTTTGTTCACTTAAAAATGCATTCTATGTATCAAATGCTCCTTCAAACAATGAAGTGTTAAAACCCCACCTTGACAGCCCTAGCCTGTGTGGATCTGGTTCATCCATGAACTGAAAAGTTGCACAGGTTCAATTCCTGGTCAGGGTGCACTTTGAAGGCAACCAATGTTTTCTCTCTCTCTTTCCCTAAAATCAATAAAATCCATCCCCAGTAGAGAATTAAAAAATAAATTAAAACCCCACCTTGACAGAGAAGCAACATGTCACTTAAGTAAAAATCAAACAGCCACATTTTCTGACTGCTAGCCAAAAACAGGTTTCTATTTTGCTGATGGTCTGGTATTCAAATTTTTCCCAAGCAAACTGTAGAGGGTCAGAAGCAATTACTGAACTTACAAATTTGACCTAAAGTTCTTTTCAATTCCCTACTTGCACTGTTTTCCCCATTCAGATGTTTAAATGGTTTAAGATAACCTCTAAAAAAAAGTTATTTAAAAAGTCTAGGGAAATAAGGTAAATAATGTAAAGCAGGTTAATTCTTTAAAACTCCCCATTCCCTAGATACACACACACACAGACACACACCAACACTGCTCTATCCCTTACTCACTTTCCATGTGCTCTTGAGTCATTTGAACTCTCTAGGCCTCCATTTTCTCCTCCGGAAATGGGGATAAAAAGAGTAATGTAACTACCACATTGGATTACTTGTGAACATTAATTAGGACAACACATAAAATACTTCAGTCAACCAACAGGAAATCAATGAGTTTCAATCTTAACTTTTCTAGTTGAATCAAAATCTCGGTGTCATTTGAGTCCTACCTATTAAAAGTTTATTTTCTATGGTAACTATCTCCATTAACCCGTTCATGCAAACCTAATCAATAGCAGTAACTTTTAGAAGCACTCTATAAACAGGGTTATATAACCACCTAGCAAGCCTTCCTCAACTATCACCCTCCTCCCTGAGTTAGGTACCCTGATCAAGAAATAGGCCATACTTTACACTGTACTTAGCATAACTGCCTATATTATTTGAGAGCCCCTTGTAGGCAAGGCCTATGTCCTTTTCATTTCTGTACCCCAGACAGCAGCCCAATAGTTCTTAACCCTGACTCACCTCAGAATCACATGGAGAGCTTATCAAAATATCATTGCCTGGGATCCATCCCAGACAGGCTAAATCATAAGGGGGTCAGGGAGGAAGAGGGGAGTATTTTTTTTTAAGATCCTCGCACGATATTAATGTGCAGCAACAGTTAAGAACCCTGAACTCTGGCATTTAAAATACTATATTCATACAAACAGCTATGTATGTGTATATGCATGAATACATAGGTTAAAGAAATATAATCCTGAGCTCCAGACCTTCATCCTCAGTAGCCTCTCAGCCCAATCATCTTGTCCCCTTTAAACACACAATATTTCTAATAAACAATTACTTATGAGCATTAAGATGGCTTTTAAACTGTTAACTTAGCCTTCTTCCTGGATACACTCTTGCTCATTACCCTCCTTATTTTCTCCACAGAAAACAAGTACCTTGTTTTACAATAGTACCTTGAAGACAAACATGTAGTAAACAACTGACTGATTTAATAAGCATATGCAATAATTATTGGCAGGAATTATGTCCCATCCAATATCCAATCCAGGCTATTCCCTCAAAAAAAAATTAAAATGTTTCAAAAAGTTTAAAAAATATCTCTAACTTTGTAAATGAGAACAAAAGTTTATCTCATCTACATATTTTCACTTTTTATTACAGTCATCACATGCAGTATCAACTCAGTATTTTACCCCCATTCACGACTTTCAGGTTTTGACCTGCTTCCTTCCTAAAACTACCTCCTAGCTGCTTTTGGGTCCTTTAGCTGTTCTCAGGTACCTTTATAATAGTTTTATAGTAGTCAGTAATTAGTAAAATAAGTTCATGAAAGTCACAATGCATGTGCCACACACATTTAATAAATACTTCTTGAAGGAACTTACTGTTCATTAACCACTACAATAAACATACAATTTACATGCTAATCTACTATAAACTTGGTTGGGAATAGGGTCTAAGAATAAGTCTTACTCAACATTATATATAATACAAGTCTGCTTTTGAAAGTTGACAGGTTGGAGATGTTCTGCTTTTACAGTATTTTCATACCTGAAAATTCTGTAAATATTATGACTTTTTAAAACAGGAGTGATACAAGTAGTATTACACAAGAAGCTCCACAGCAATGGGCCTTGTGAATATTGAAACTAATAGAAATGAATGGCACACAATTCTAAAAAGAAAAAGATATAGCAAAAGGTTCCCTTTCAAAGTTTTGAGCCATCTATTCTACCACTACTAAAATAATCTGGCTTAAGTCATTTAAAAAAAACCCTGAAAATATGGGGAGGAGGCACTCAAGAAGCACGCCTGCTAATTAGATACAATGGTAAAACATGACCATGTTTTGTTGGGTCCTACAGCATGAAACAGAGCCATAGTAACCACAAAAAGCAAGCAGTCCTCAATTCCCTATTCAATAAAAAAGGTTCAAATTCCACAGACAAAAAAATGGTAACCTGGGTTGTTTGTTTTTAAGGAAGATTAAATTTAGGAGTTGCCAACACCCAAATGAAAAACATTCCAGAGTATTAGACTCAATTGTAGTAGGGAGTCATCTACATTCTCAGCACTATGTTCCCTACCCAAAGCAAAAGTGTTAACAAAGGATGTTTCTTTGGATCTCACAAAATACACCATACTTATTTCCCCTAGTAAACATTACCCTTGTTAAAAAACAAAAACAAAAAGGTATTTAAGAAATAACAATGTTAGCACAAGCAGCCAAATACTGAAGTTTAACATCTGCCAATATATTTCCCAAAATAAGACTCCTGTCACATGAATAATGAGCAAAAGATTAAAAATGACAAATTCCTTTATTTGGACCCTCAGCTACTTTTAAAAATAAAGTTGAGGAATGCAGTTTTTCCAAAGCCTTGTCTTCAGTTTCCCTTTAATCTTCATATTTTTAACTAAACAAATAAAAATAACCTTAGAAATTTGATTACCACACTTATGAATTCCTTCTAAAGCAATTTAATGAATAACAGATCTTTTGTGCAAGTAGCAAACCACAGTGGACAGTTTTTGCTGGCTGATAAAAATCTCTCTGAAACACTCATAAAAATATACTCTCCATAGAAAAACTGATTTTCCAGGTACAGAAATTATATTAAGACTTAAAAATCTGGGTATGTCTGCCAATGCTTTTACTTGACCCACAATTAAAGTTAGTAAATTCTTATTATTTTCTTGGTGTCACAGTGAAGCAACTGAAGACCAGAAGTTAAAAAAAAAAAAAAGGTAGTAAAACAATGAGCCAATGAGAAAAAGATGGAAAAACTACTTTGGATGAAACAAGGTTGTGGAATCACTTCCCAAAACTGGTGAGCTACTATTAAAGTAACCAAAACTTGTTTAAGATCGTTTTGTTGCGGGTAAAGTGTGGTGCAGCTATACACTAAGTAAAAATCTTTCACCAGTCACTCTAATAGGAAGGTGCTATTGCCTGCAGAAATGTTTTGACACTGCTCAAAAACAAACAAACAAAACCCAACCCTACCACAAATGTTTTCTAGAATACACAGAGCCAAATATTCAAATAAAGGAGAGATCATCTCAGCAAAAATTTTGAGTTCCTACAGCGTTCCTACTGTCCTAAATACCACTCAGGAAAAAAGTCTGTGTGCGCGTTGAGGAACAGTATTTCCAGTCTAGGTTACACATGAAATAGATGAAATAGGGCATATATTTATGTGGATATACTCATCTTGGATTCAACGAAAAATAAAGGTGTCTCGGATTATGCTTAGGCCACGTTTCCTTTACAGGTGCTATTAAACACTGTTGAGAAGAGGAGATAAACAATCTGATAATTTGAGACACACACGTGGGAAACTACAGTATGTCATCATCGCCATTAATCAATTTTTCTAACTGATCAAGCATTAAAAAAAGAAGTCTAAGTGAGCAAGTTCTGGAGCCAGTAGTTGTCTTTCCACCACTGTAAAAATGTATCCTGGGTCTGAGACCTTAGCCTGAAAAGCACGTGCCCTGCTTTGGGTTCTGGGAACTTCCCAAGAAGCATTTGTTCAGAGTAAAACTCCATCACCCTCTGCCACCCTTAAAGGGTAAGTGGTACGAGCTACAGTGGGAAAACTCTGAGCCCAGGAGACCCGAGAGCTCCCAGGAGGAAACACAAGGAGACAGCAGCCTCCACCTCCACCTCCACCTCCACCTCCACCTCCACCTCCAGGTGAGGCTGCAGTCCCCGCCCGGCTCACCTCTGCCGCGGGGATGTTGACCACGCCGGTGGAGCGCCGCTTCTCCCGCAGCTTCCTCTTCTCGATCTGCCCCTTGCCTTTCCGGGCACTGGGACCCGAGCTCTTGCCTTTCTCCCGGGCGCCGTCCCCCTCCTCCTCGTCGCCCCGGGCCGGCGGTGCTCCAGAGGAGGTGGAGGCGGCGCCGGCGGGGGTCTCGTCCTCGGGCCGCCGCGGGCCCGGGGCCGCCCGGGACAGCACCGGAGGGGCCACCGTGTAGTTCACACCCCCGGGGGTGGCAGGTGCGGCGGCGCTGCCCGGGAGGTTGTTGTTGAGCTCATTGACCGTGGCGGCCCCCGAGGTGCCCAGAGACCCCGGCGGGGGCTTTCCGGCAGTTTCGCAAGTGCCCACGCCCTGGGCGGCCGGGCCCGGGGTGTTCTGCTTGGCGCGGAGCTTCTCGCGCTTCGCCTTCCACTCCTCCAGGAAGTCTGTGGTGCTGCCGCCGCCACCGCCGCCGCCGCTGCTGCTGCTGCTGGTCCGGTAGCCACCGGTCGCCATATTCCCACCGGGGCCGGCCGGGCTCACACCTCAGGACGCCCACCCCGGCTCAGGCCGCCGCCGCCTCTTCCTTCCCGCGGCCCCGAGGGTACGCGCGAACGACCCCCAGGCGTGGAGCGGCCGCGACTCCCCCAGCAGCTCTCCGTCTGAATGGAAACACAAAAGGGGGCGGGGAAGGGAAGCGTATGGTCCTCACGCGGCCCAAGGGACTGCCCCGCGGCTGCGCCCCTCCGGGTCCCCGGACCCAACGTGCGCCCACTTGTCCCCGCAGGCGAGTGGCTGCCGAGTCCCCGACTTGCAAAGTTTCGCCGACGCACCTCCAAGGCGGGCCGGGACGCTAGCCGCCCCTCCAGGGGAGGAGAAAGGGATGGCCCTCGCCCCAACCGCACCGGGGTCCCGGCCTGCAGCGGTCTGTAGACCCGGGCCAGACCCCGCCACCTGTCGGCCCGTCTCCTCTCCAGCCCCTCGCTCCGGACACTGCCCGTCCGGGGTCGCGGCCGACAGCCCATTCCTTGGGAACGGCTCTCGGAGGAAGGGGGACGCTTAGACACAAGCTGTCCAGTCGATTCGGAAAGGAACCGGTGCGCGTGTGACAACCCCTTACCTGGGAGAAGTTTGGGGGACGAGGCGCGGGGCTAGAACCGGCGCCCAGGTGAGTCGAAGCAGCCGCGCTAAAGGCGCCGCAGCCAACTCGCCGCCTGGAGGTCCCAGCTCTCTACCCGGCTAGCTGGGAGAGGGGGAGGAGGGAGGGAGGCAGCGAGGGGCGGGAGGGGAGCCGAGAGACGCCGAAGCGCGGGCGGAAAGGGCCGAGACGGCGCGGAGGGGCGCGGCGCTAGGTGGGAGGGGGGTCTGGCCCGTCTCCGCCCCGCCCCCGGCGCTCAGGTGCGCGGCGCCCGAGCCAGCCCACCGCTCGGATGGCACATTCCTGGCCTCGTAGCCTCGCAGTGTCTGGCCTCTCGGCGCCTCCGACTGGGGCGGGAACGGCCCTCCGCGCCCTTCACCCCGTTTCTCTTCTCCGCCTCTCCCTTCTCCCACCACTCTTCCTTTTAAGTACAAGACAAAAAATCTTCGAGGGAAAGTCTCGAATGCTGCTGGCTGAGGGGGAAAGTGCAATCAACTTGGGATGATTCAGGGCCTGGCTAGCCAGGATGGGAAAACATGCTTGCGTCCGGGTTCCTCTTCGCTGGCCCTTTTCAGATATGCTTAGGATGGCAGGTAGAGAACAGAAAGAACTGAAACCCAGCTCTCTCCTTGTAAGAAAAGTTTGTAGTCTTCCGGTAAAAGGGTTACCTAAAAGGAAGGGCTTAAATTGACAGCGAATTATCAAGGATTTACGATTATCTTATGCTTACTAGAGAAAATTAAAAACATTTCGACCATGTGGGCTATCTTAATTCTATTTGGAGTTTTCTTCTTAACACTGTCTCTACACCTTCTCTTTCCAGATAGTGAATTTAGCAGCAAAAGCTCCCTACCAAAGTACGAACGCTGCATTGAAGTTCATTTAATATGAGCTGGGGTCGTGATTGTCTTTTATTTTTCTTAACGCGCCCCAGAGTAAATCTTATCCTCAGGTGCAAATCAGCTTAGATTTCTGGATCAGGGCGGGGTGGGCTGCAGCTGACAGGGACCTGAGGAGCCTGAGCTCACTGTATCCAAGGAATGCTAGGGCACATCAGTCTTAGGATACAAATGTAAGGTCACCATTTTGTGAAAAGCAGGTGAGCACTGAGTCACACTCTTACCTAACATCAATCTTTCTTCCTATTCAGTATGCCTCTTTTGCCCAGGTGACACATGGTGGGTGGGCAATCAGTGTGCGCCTGCCACAGGAATGAGAACAGGAGAAGGTGATTCACTTGCTATTTATTTCTCACAGGGAAAGACACACAGATTCGGGCTTTGGTCTGGCTGTTGGGGTGAATATATGAGGAACCAGGAGGGAGCTCTGGAAAAATCCTTAGAAAATTAGAGGACTTCCTTGGGAATGGGTATAAAAGGCTGAGCCTGGCTGGTACCAACCTTGGTGCACCCCCTGAAATTTTTCATTACAGATTCATTAATTTGCTTTCTGAGTTTTAGGAGAGGAGACTAAGGGCTGGGCATTAACCAGATTCACACTAATATGCTTGGAGGGGCTGCAGGATACAGTGGAAAGAGAATATAGTATGCCTGGATACAAACATAAGTAGCTGAAAGGTCTCAGGCATGTTGTTTAAATTCTCTGAAACGTTCTTTACTATAAAAATCAGCAATAACAGCATATATTTGTAAAGCTGTTATAAGAATGGACAAGGTGTGTTAAGTGTGCTTGATTTAAGAAAGGCACTCAGTCCCCTGGCTGGTGTGGCTCAGTGAACCCAGTGCTGGCCTATGAACCAAGGGGTCACTGGTTCAATTCCCAGTCAGGGCACATGCCTGGGTTGTGGGCCGGGGGGGCACACAAGAGGCAACTACACATTGATGTTTCTCTCCTTCTCTTTCTCCCTCCTTTCACCTCTCTTTAAAAATAAATAAAATCTTTAAAAAAAAAGAAAGGCACTCAGTAATTATAGTCCCTTTTATTACCAAGCAATTAGAGTCCTGGGTCTTTAAGATGTTGGAGGGTTTGGAGGGACTTAGGCAAAAACATAAGGTACTGAATATGAACTATAAACTTGAAACCAATTGGCTAAATGAACTAGGATAATACTTATGCCACATTAATTTGTTACTGCATCACTTACACCAGTTCTCTTAATATTAATAGGCTCTGTGTCAAGAATGCTGGATATTATTGACTTGCGTGGCTTTGAGTGAGTTGCTTAACATTTGTGCCTCTGTTTACTTGCATATAAAATGGGGATAATAATACTTCCTAGGTTGTGAGAGTGTTGTGAAAGTGCTTGAGATCCTTAGATAAAAGTAATACGTTAGTACCAAAGTAGTTATTACTAGTCTATAAAGTATCCTAGGAACCATGGATGAAAGAGATTATTGAGGTACAAAGCACTGTATATTATTATTGTTATCATGTATTATACCTTTGTCTTTACCTTACCATTCTCAACATCCCCAAACATGTATTTCACAGCCAGACTGCTTCCAACATTGCACCAAGATATATAGCTGAGTCAGTCCTAAATTGCAAAATGTTTGCATATCATCAATCTTTAAGTATATAGTGTTCTGATGAAATAATCTTCAGAGACTCAGAGCTTGGTTTCTCAACCACATCACTATTGACATTAGGGACTAGATAATTCTTCATTTGGGGAGTTGTCCATTGTAAGATGTTTAGCAGCATCCTTAACTTCTATTAGATGCCGATATCTGCCCCTCAGCCCTGGTTGTAACTTTGCCAAATGTTCAGGGGGTACAGGGAGGGGGGCAAAATATTTCCCAGTTGAGAAGCCCTGAGCTAGCCTAAAATAACTAATTTTGATGACTCACTTGCCTTAATAATAAAGGGAAATATAATGCTAACAAAACAAATATATTCCTTTTAATATGCCACAGTGAAATTTATTCTAAATGTTAAATCTTAACTTAATGTTCTACCAGGATTATAGCAAAAGACAGCAACCTACCCTTTCCACTCCCAAACTCTTCCCAGAACTTTGAACTCTTGACTGTTTCTGCTTGTATAGATCTTCATATTTATTTTTAATGTCCTTAACTAGTATCTACTTATTGATTTTACTATTTTTAGACATCTTTAGTGAGCTCCTAATACAGAAGAAATTTTAGCTCTTTTACCCTAACCACACATACACTTTCCTTACTGCTAAACTCTGATATATCATGATTTTTATTAAATAAACAGTAAGTGTTCATAGTGTTATGATGATTTAAATATTGTTCACAGCTGAGCCATGCAATGTACTATAACTGCATTTCTTTTGTTTTTTAACATCTATTTTCTTGTTGTACAGCTATCTATTTTTTCAACAATTAAAACTTGCATTTTTTTGTAGTGTTGGCTTGTTTTTCTATATACCAGTCACATATTTACACTCAAACTTTTCTCCTCTCAACAACCTCCTTGCTACAGAGCCTTGAAGAACAAATTCAAGAATCTAATTTTTCCTTAGGTTGATTTTCAACTAGTTGTTCAGTTTTCACCCCCAAACTTTGCTCCCTTTCAGAGGTATGTGCTACTGCCTCCAATATCTGGACTTTCTTTTTAGGGTTCCTCAAGGTAAAAAGAATTACCTGTTTTCATTTTGCCTCCTGCAGGTGGTTAGAATTCATCTTTCTCTGCTCTGCTGAAGTCTACCTATTTTCCATCTTTCGTCTTCCAAAATTTTCCTCTCATCTCCCACTCTCTTTGTTGTTATTGGTTTATCACTTTACTTTTGTTTTAGTGAAGTTACTTGAGGGAGTAGAGATAAAATGTGTTCTTGTCTGTAAAGTTTAACAGGAAGTCCAATCCATCAGTTTTGCGGATTTCCAAATACTTTGAAATCTAATCTGTGATGAAGCCAGATTAGTAGCAACCACTACATCTTATTTTCCTTCTCATTGAATGAAATCCTAAGCCCCTTATTAATTGGCACTATTAGAAAGAGCTCTATGAAATGTATTTTCTGTAGACTGTTTTGAAGATGTGGACCATTATATTACATAATGTTCCTATTATTAAAAATCTAGGAACATTAACATTAAAAATAGCTCTATTTCTCTTTTGTTACTGGAGGGTTTTTTTTAAGATTTTACTTATTTTAGAGAGAGAGAGGAAGGGAGGGAGCAAGAGAGGGAGAGAAACATCAATGTGACAGAGAAATATTAATTGGTTGCCTGTCCTTCACGCCCCAACCTGGTACTGACTGCAACCTAGGCATGTGCCCTGACTGGGAATAGAACCAGTGACATATTTTCTGTGTGGGATGACACCCAACCAACTGAACCACGCCAGTCAGTGCACTTTTTTTTAAACCACAGCAAAACTATGTGTTATTTAGCCAGTGAGTTTTCCCTTTTTCATTTGATTGCTGGTAATCTTTGCCAGATTAATAGCCTATCAAGTAAAGGATGTAGGTTTTGTGATGCCCAACACTTATACAATCTTCCTTAAGAAAAAGAACAGGTAAGAAAATAAATATAATAAAAATTTATTTTTATTTTTATTTTTTAATTTTTGCTTTTAGAGAGAGGAGAAGGAAGGGGGAAAGAGATGGAGAGACACATCAATCGGTTGCCTCTCTCATGTGCCCAACCAGGAACCTGGCCCACAACCCAGGCATGTGACCTTACTAGGAATCCAACTGGTGACCTTTCTGTTCACAGGCTAGCGCTCAGTGCAATGCGTCACATCAGCCAGAGCTAATCAAAATTTTTTTCAATTATAAATGTTAACAAATTGAAATATGCCATAAGCATTATAAAAATTCCTAAGGGGACTGTACCCACATTCCTATATCTCTGCCTTCTTACTTTGAAAGTTCCCTGCTCCTCTCAAAGGCAGTCCTGCCACCTATTCTGTTTCCTCTGTGAAGGGCTTTGCTCTCCTCTCACTCATAATCAGTTTCTTCTCCAAGAAATCATTCCTTTCAACATTCAAATGAACTCTTATAATCCCTTCTGTATTAGTTTTCTATTTATTACTGTAACAAATTTCCACAGACTTAGTGTCTTAAACAATACCACTTTATCATCTTACAGTTCTGTTGATAGAAGTCCAACACCAATCACCCTGAGCTAAAATCAAGGGGCCAGCAGGGCTGCAGCATTCCTTTCTAGAAGCCCTCGGGAAGAATCCATTTCTTTGCCTTTTCCAGCCTCTAGAAGCCACCCACACTCCTCAGCTCATGGTCTTCTTCCCTCGTTTTCAAAGCAAGCAATGTCCCATCTCTTTGTCCTCACTGTGCCTTTCTTCCATAATCACAAATCCCTATGATTCTCTCTTCTGCCTCCCTTTTCCACTTTTAAATATCCTTGTGATTACTGTTAAATTCGCGTGAGCACATTTGAAGATCTATTTG